CTATCTCTCCGTCACCGGCAGAATCGCTGATTAATGCCTACAGTTCAAAATAGTCATTTTGACTGACCGGAGTCTATGGTGGGTAATTGAACGTAGTGAATTATGTCATATCAGCTGGCTGACAGTACCATACGTCAGTGCTTTGAATAGCTACTCACCCATATCCTTATCATAGCAATCTTGACTGGTTTTTCCAGTGTGATGAATATGAGATGATTGTTTCCAGGTGTGAACGGCGCTAACCACATATGAACGTCATCCCGCGTTCTATTGACTCCATCTATCAGATTAGTCACCACGCGTGGATCATTAGCGTAACCATCTAATATGTTGATATCACTCGGGTCTGCTGTGATCTAAAATCAGTGACATCAAAGATTTATAATATAAGGGTATGCAACTTTGATAATATATGTGATATGTGATGAATCTAATTTCGTAAGCACATCAACAGCCGCATTTTTAACTAATGGCACCACAGAATACAGTGGTTGTTTGAATGATTTGATTGCATACACAGAAATGAGCGAGAGTATCGTTGTACACAAAAAAAAAAAAAAAAATACATTTAATACCAGCTTTACCATTAATTAACTATTTCACCACCAGACTTTCTCGCCCAAATTATTCGTCACTTTTATTCGTCACTTATATTCTCAAATATTTCTGAAAATGAACCCTAATTTTGAAGCCAACAGACAAAATTTTACTAAATTTTCAGTTTTTACTCAAAATATTTGGCTATTTTCATTCCAATCTTCTGACGGAAAGAGCAGACATAAACAGGACTGTTATGTGAAGTTGCGATGAAAAGAGGAAACTGGGGGTGAAAAAAGCCTAAAATGAACCAAGCAGCTCTTTCACAGTCACACTCATTTGCCATAATAGTAGTAGAAATATAGGTTTGTGTGATTTTGTTATCATGTTTTATTTAATACCTGTATATGGCCTTTCTGCACCAAAATCTACTTCAATGAGAATAATGATAAACAGCTGCTCTACCCACATATCAAACACATGTGTTAGAAAGTATCAGACCTGCATACCTGTGCTATCTTGACTGGTTCTCCCGATGACTGGAATATTTCAATACCGTTCAAGCCAACATAATGTTTATCTCCCCATGTTGATTTAATATTGACATCAATGTATTGACCAAATGGTTGTTCAGGAATTTCAAAATCACTGAAAGTAAGACACATTTAAAGATTGCTCAATAAGAGAAATAATAATCACATTATTTACTTTGATTATGAAACAAACAGCTCAGAGATTTTAATGCTTTTACAAATAAAAAAACAAAACAAACAAAGTCGAGTAGAAGCTGTCTCTTTCAATTTTTTACTATTCTCTAGCCCAAAGAATTATTGAGATTTTTTGGCTTTTGTTTTCAACAGTAATGGCTGCCAGATGGTGACAATTCAAGGATATCCACCCTGAGAAATGAAATTATTACAAGCCATAACAAATTCTGCTGATAATGTACTCAATATACAGCAAATATTACGCAACCATTTTCTGATTGGTAGCAATAATAGACCATTTTCCGTTCACTGCGAGAATCACGCGTTATGCGTGAAATCGAACGTAAAAACAGGACAAACAAAGGTCATAGCGTCGTAGTCGCGTCAAACATCCCGTGGGATTCGACAAACGCGAAAGTATTTTGGGAACATTTCCATGCTTAATAATGTGCTGTCCACATTTGATGATAGGCAATTTCGATTAAGTAAGGGTATTCTGAAGCAATATTCCTCTGTCGAAGATCGGCCGGTCAATGTAAGCTACGAAATAAAGAAATTCTAGTTCAAAATCAAATTGTTCGATTTTTGCGGCAGACGTTCGACGCGCGTCTTTCATGCATCTCGCGAGATCTCACAATTGTACGGTAAATCACCTATTGCTAGGTATACAGTAATAAGACATGAACTTGTTGGAGACATCAAAAGCAATTGTTATGTTATCCAATGATTTATCTCGATGTCCTTTGAAAAATATAAAAATTCCTTATATACTCTCCTATCCTAAGGCAATTTAGCTATGTTAAAATTCCAACATTGCCCCGCAGTGATTTTTGTGTGTGCATTAACACATACCTATCTTCATCACTGACAGCTACCTCATCTTCTTCCTCTTCTTGGATATTCTCTTGAATTGCAGGTTTGGGTTTCAATAAATAAGAATCTAAAGCATCACCTGCAACAAAATGGAGCACTAAAATTTACAATGTATGTAGGTATGTTTTTTTTTCATATCCCAAATCGTTTAATAATTAAGACTTGAGATGATTTGAGGGCATTTGTATGAGTGTCTCAGGAACGCACTGTTGAATATCCCAAATGATATTGTTCACTACTACAAAACATGTTTTTAGGACCCTAGTAAAATTTTCAGTACTATTGATGAAAATTACATTGTGATTTGCATGTTTGCTAGATTACACTGTATCAAACGCAGCTTACTACACTAAAGGAAACCCACAACTGATGTAACACAGGTTGAGTTGATACTGATTCAATACTCAGTACTATGTCATAACAGCACCTTGTAAATCTGTGTTCATATTAGCTGAGAGTCGACCTCGTTGTGACTTGTTAAATAAGGATAGAGAATTCCATGATTCTTCTAAGCTGACATCTTGAAATTGCCGCCACTGTGCCCTGGTTGTTAACGCTTCACCCTCTATGTGGGTTTTGCTGTCTGGTTTCACAACCACAACATTTGCTTCCCAGTCTTCTATTAATGCAAGTATGCAAAATAAATGAGCGTCAGTTTAGCATTGCAGATTCACAAATAACATGTGTTCAACAATGAAATGTAAATAATCTATGGCATGCCATTTGAGGTGAGCGATCATTCCTTCTTGCATATCGAACACGTAAATCAAGACCCAAGAGAGCTAATTATCCGTTTTGCATACGCTATATATGTTGCTATGGGGCCAATATCGATGTAGTATGATGATCTCTGCCCTTTAATATTTAATTGTCATGTCAACTGAACTCAGAAGAGTGTCATACCTTGATAAGGGGTTCTTCGACTAATTGCTTTGTCTTCGTCTTTCCTCTTTTCTTCTTTTAAAAGTGGTGACAGATCTCTATATTCAGAAGTGGATATTGTTCAACAGAGAGTTCAACATTATTGTATTTGGTCTATTAGTAGTTTGTGGCGTGTGTGCTCACATAAATTATTAGATGTTTCGATGGTCAAAGTAAGTAATATTTTATTGATTCAGTATAGAACAAATGGAATTTTTGGTTTTATAATATAGAACTGTGCTTCTATTGGAGATGCGCTTCTAATAGACAAATATAGTACGTGTTCTAATGCCTTAAACTTTTTGAGTATGTATGTTTCACTATAATGTATTTGCTCTATTAGAAGAACCTCTTTGATTGAAGCAAATGAACATCAAAAATTGCATTTACTGTACTAGTATTTTGTACTTTACAAGTATAACTGTTTAAATGCATGTGCTACTAATAGAGCAAATACTGTAGTAGGATTGCCTTGCACATAACATACATGCACGTAGCAGAGGTGGAGAGTTGGGAGTGAAAACTGTAACTCCTCCAACTCCCAAATAGCTTCTCATTTAACATTTTCTATTTTTAAAATTAATTATTCAAATATTAAAGTTACTTATTTACTTACAACGATGATACTTTATCAACCAATTCTTTTTCTATTGAGAAAAAATAAATAAAATGAGAGACAACTATGAGACAAAAGTACGTAAGATATGTAGGTTTCATTAGGTGAAATATGAAGTGATATGTACAGTACATACCTGGTGATTGCAGCCATGTTGGTTTCTGTTGACTTTTCGGCCTAGGTGTGGCATCTGTGGAACTGGTGTTGAAGATAGAAATTAAAGTTGAAATAACCTCACATTTTATTGAATTTATACATTTTATACTTAATGACAATTACTTTCATGTGTATTTGATGTTCAATCTGAGAAGATACTGCTTGTTTTACGTCTAAAACTGGTGCATAGTGTGCATGAACCAACTTAACTTTTTTGTTCTCGTTTTGTTTTGGTTAATACATGTATTTGCTTATTACTGTTCTGTGCAAAAGAATATAACTCTGGCTGAAGAACCACTGACTACAAATTTGTCAAAATATTACCTTGATATTGATATGTACCTAGGAATGAACATGTGACAAAATGGTTCTTATTGAGGGTTCCTACAACACATGTATCAATAGTGCATGCACTAAATTTAAATGTCAATAGTCAAAATAAGTCATATTTTAATGATCCAGAATACAATAAATGCAATTTTTAACTTCTGAACAGAATGAATTTTTCGACATAAAACCTTACTGAGTGCCTCAAAACACAGCACATGATACCATGCCACCTTGTTTGGTGGTGCTAGATTGAAATGCAGCTATTACCTTTTGAGTTGTAGAAGCTGCTGTAACATAGAAGGTTCTTCTGGACTGGCAGCCACTGTAAAAGATTTACTCTGCTTTGGAATAGAAAGTTGGTTTTCTTGAGAAACTCTTGTTGGATTTTCTGTTGGATATTTAAGTTGGTTCTCCATTGGCATTGGGGATTCTCTTGAGATGGATTCACTACTGGAATGTATAGAGTCACTGACAAGGACAGATTAAAGTCACAATGTTAATAGTTGATAATAAAATGAACATAAAATGTAATACCACAGAGTAAGTCTCCTTATTAATTTTGATATAAAAAGTCTGTATATTTAGGAAATAGAAGGCAACACAAATCCATTTTTGTGATAACAGGACAAGGACAGGGGACGTGACAAATAATGAGTCAAAAGTCAAGCATTGGGCAGTGTAGAGTCCCTTATTTTAATTATGATACATGTTCAGTATTTGCCCTATTAGTAGCACAATCACTTATGTCAATGTCAGCGGTGTCTCTATGGCCAAAAGAATTAATATTTGAATAACATAGTATACAATTAATGCAACTGATTGTCTACATGCAATTTTATTGGAGATGCGCTTTTAATAGAGCAAATACAGTACCCCGAATGTATGTTCAAGGGCAGTGGTACCCCTGAAATGAAAAAAATGATTTCCTTATTAGTGTGTTATGGATGCTTTTATTTTGCTGTTTAAATTTGTTACCGGTATTTAAACAATCCACCACAATGTGGATATACATTGAATATCGTTATTCTTATTCACACACAATTTTATTCAATATCAGAAAACTCAATGTGGTTGATTGACCAATGAGAATGTACAGGAAGTGCACAATAGTATACCGGAAATCCCTAATAAATCTCAGACGTTGTTGATAACACAAGATTTGCTAAAATTCACTAAAATAGAATGTATAGTAGCTAATTTAAAGTATTCAACATATCATTAGATTATAAGAGTAGATGCAGTCATACCTTGTTGAAGTGCTGTCAGAAGACTGGTTTGATAACTGTGCTGCCATCTTTCTTGGTGTTCTACTTCTACGTGGTTTCTCCTTCCCTTTTGTTGGAGATCTCTTCCCACCAAACATCTCTAAAACTGTAGAACAATAGACATTTGCCAAAATACCTTGTTAGTACATCTCCCCTACAAGCCACGCCCCTCGGTATCATTATCACATTACAGAAGTGATTCATTGCTAGAGAGTGTGACTTGTAGGAATGCTGCAGTGGATAGGAGATGGTTATGTATGGTATTGCTGCTGTACATCATGGTACCTCTCTGTAGAATGACTGACTGACAAGACAAATTAACCACTACTCAAAGATGAATTTGAGTGAATAACTATCACACCAGGGTGTTTTAAATTAAACAATACGAGGATACTTCAGTTCAATTGATATACTAAGAAATCACTATGTATTCTCTTATTGTAAGTCCTTGATATATGAAGTAATATATGGATATATTACTGTAAAATTTGTATTACTGCAGCTGCAGCTACGACTTCTATTAAAATGGTACAATGCAACAGAAGAGATGCAGCTTTTATTAGAGCATCTACAGAAACAAGAAATGATGAATTTTTGCTTCTCAATTGTTCAAAAAAATGGGTGTGGCTGCTATTAGGGATGCGGATTCTGACACAGGTTTTCCCGTAGTAGATAATACTGTAAAATCTGTATTAGAAGCTGCAGTTTCTATTAAAATGGTACAATGTAACAGAGAGGATGCAGCTTCTATTGGAGTATCTGCACATATGAGAAATGGTGATTTTTTGGGACTCAAAGAGTGGCTGTGGCTTCTATCATTAATGTGGCTTCTAATACAGATTTTACGGTTACGGTTAAGTTTAATCAACCTAAAAGTGATGCAAACAGAAATCTCACCATTCTCTCTTGTCTCCTTGGTGACCTTTGTCTTCTGGGGTGTTTCCAACCAACAACTCTCACTGATCACCTGCTGTGGGCCGTCACCACAATCAAATGTCCTATTCAACTCATGACATTCTAATGAGATTTCTTTGCTGTAATCAAACACCTGATTGCCACACCCCTTGTCAATTTCACCACACCACCTGTCTTTACCATCAACCAGGATACGTACGTCTTTGGCACCTATGTTCAATTCCTACAACAAAAAACATAGTGTAACTATTACAACCTTGCCTATTGAGAATCTAAATTAAATAATAAATGAATGGATGGATGGATAGGTACTGATAATGCACAATATTTTCTCTACATGGCAGAAGCGAATAAAAAAATCCTGAAACAATGCAAAAAATACTGGCTAAAATTACAATTCTGACCAAAAATGAACATGAATAATGAAGTCATCATAATTACATAAAAAAAAAAATATTCATGTTCCTAAATAATACTACATGTACTGTGTTAATCTCAATGACCCTTATTGAATCAAAGTTGGCTGAGATCCCAAACTTGTTGACATAATAGTCAAGTTTGAAAGAAAATAAATAAAAACTGTTGCTATTGTAACCACAAGAAAAAGTTTTCCGATGAAGTCAACAACTACAACAAAGACAGACATTTTCCCCTCATACACATTGACCTTCATCTACAATGATACAGACAAGGTAATAAGCAATTTGACAATAATAACAAGTATATTTGCAAGTATGATGACAAAACAAAGGCTTAGGTCACAGTTTGTCACATAGCGCACATTTAAAAATTCATGTACCGATATACCGATAAATAAACATATACATACACAACTGTATGTTGTATACATCGCATGGGATCTATATCAAACACAGTGTAGCAAAACGACTGTGGAGCTTGTTTACAACAATAAACAAGATGATTCACAGATATATTCTGAATTGTGCGGCTCCAATATTTGGACCTATTTGCTATACAGCAACAATTTTTCAACAAGTCAAGAGCACCATCACCAAATCATACTAAGTCAGTTTAGAGTACCTTGTTATTTTTCCCTTTACATATGTGTACACTAAAAGCTCATTACGCTGTTTCACAAACTGTTAATGGTTGATTGTTATTTCTTGTTACTGTGTAACCCTCATATGGCTGCACATCATAAAATCACAGTGAATGCGAAGATATTTACAAGATTGTGCCTGATTGGCTACCCAACCCTCACACCAAACATTTGGACCAATCAGAGAGCAGATTGTTCGTTGACAGTTTTTTTTTCAATGCATCAAATTCTTACTTATATGTGCTTTGATTCAACTAAAAAAAACACATCATAAAATTGGAATTGTATAAATCGACTGTCACAAATTTGGATATAAATACCAGAATCAGTACTAAACTAATAGCCGGGCAACTGCAACAAAAAATCGATTACTATTATCTACCCCCAACCCCAAAATAATATTATGTTCACAAGAATATAATATCCACAGCTACAAATATACAACTAAAAACAACATGGCAATACTTACTGAAATATTTTTATTATAATTCCATATATTAATTCTGGCAATAGTATTTTTCTCACATGGCAGTTCAAAAATTAGTTTGACTGGTTGGTTGTTTGGTAAACTACAACTCCACATATGCCGTTCTTTAACAGTCTACAAATACAAAACATAATCACTATTACCACAAGATATTTCAAACTTGATGAAACAAATCTGGTGAGAATAAATGCATATGATTTTATCTGTAGGAGTGTAGGACTTCATTGTGTCCTGTATAAATGTGTCAATGGTCTGTATGACAATACTAACATTAATTAATCAGTTTTATACATTCATGGAGACACATTAGTATGTATGAATAAATAATTTCCAACCACAAGATGCATGGGAATATTGAATAAATCATGGCAGTCTGGCAGTGTTAA